GGGTTGGTGGATTTTTGTGTTTCATTTTCCCTCCCCGGGGGGGGCTTCCGCAAGACAGCAGCCATGGGATCACTGTTAGAACAAGTGCCTGTCCCCTTAAGGCAGTGGTCACTCTTCAAAGGGCAGCACCTGCCACCTGAAGAAAATCAGCCCCAGCCTGAACCCCTCTCTGGGGCAGAGAGTTAAGGAGCTGCTCTGTGCTGTGGTCTCTACAGCTCCTAAACTATGGTCTTACCCAGTACCAGGCTCTTCCATGCTTTTGGTCAGATGCCTGGTATAAATCATGTGATGGAAAACTTTCTGCTACTCCTTGAAATATCATAAAAGTCAGGTATTTCCTGTGTTTGAGGGAGTTCTCCAAAGCCTGCTATGGGGACTTGTCTGAAGAGGCCCCTGTGGTGTCCTCCCAGCCATACAGCCCATGGCTTGTGTCTCAGAGGCTCTCATTGTGGGAGTGCTCTCCCTCCTCCCTTAGCCCTCCTCCCATCTTTCCCCGTCTCTCACTCTCACTTTAAAAGAGGCTCCTCTCCAGGTAAAGGGTCTTCTTCCTTTTAAGACCCCAGGTGACGTTTGGTTCTCGAATACATTGAACCGTTTATTATCCCCCACTCTTCATGCCTCAAGGCCTGATTGTGTGTGGTCTTGAGACCCTTCCTCCTAAGAAACCTCCCTTCGTAGCAGGCAGCCGTCAGCTTCTTCTCCTGAAACAACAGTGCGTGGCCTGTCTGTATTCAGCAACCACGTGGGTGCTTCCTCTTTGAGAAGTTACTTGAGAGCTCCCCGCTACACATGGCAAAGCCCCAGGCCTGTGCAAAGAGCTTGGGTATACATCTTTAGAGCGAGAATAACAAATGTTCATTTAGTCTCTACTTGGCATCAGGGACGCTCTGAGGTGCAGGTTCCTCCCAGCAATGCTGTAGTAGATGGGATTAGTGCCGTTGCCTCATAGACGAACGGGGCACTGCCGTCCGGAGTGGTCCAATGACTTGACATGCCCAGAATCGGAACTTAGTCTGCCTTTGTATCCAGAAGTTCTGGTCTTCTTCCTTTTACTGTAATACAGTGGTTCTCAATCTTCCTAATGCTGCGACCCTTTAATACAGTTCTTCATGTTGTAGTGACCCCCCCCAAGCATGCAGTTATTTTCATTGCTATTTCATAATGGTGGTTTTGCTACTGTGATGAATTGAAATAGGATATCTAGCAGGTCACCCCTGTGAAACAGTGATTTGACCCCCCAGAAGGGGTTGCGAAGGGCTTGGAGATAGCTCAGTGGGGGGCCGCACACATGCCTAGAGTGTACAAGCCTGGGCTCAGTTGACAGTGCCTAAGAAAATAAAAATGTTCCTAGTAAATTGATGGTAACCAGTTTATAGAGCACTTGCTGGGTCCAGGTTCTGTGCCAAGGCCTGCAAGTTCATTATCTTATATATTCTCTCCAGTGCTTGTGGAGATCTTTGTCATTCCAGTTTGACAAATGAGGATTAGGACCCAGGCTAAGTAACCTTGCTACAAACCTGAGGCCCCCAAGGCTCCCTTGTCTACAAACCTGAGGCTAGAATTACAGACAGGCCACTGTGCCAAACTATCTACCATTCACTTGAGTTCTGGGAATCTGAATTGTGGTCCTTAAAATTATACAGCAAGTGTTTTAATCATTGAGCCGTATCTCCACCCCAGGATTTTAGTTTCTTTTTCTTATCTCTTCGTGTGTGTGGTCAGTTGGTAGATAGGAACATGGATGCCTTGTGAGTGTCAGATGATAATCTATGGAAGTTGGTTCTTTTCCTCCCAATCTTGTGGGTCCCAGAAATCCAACTAAGGTGAACAGACTTAGAAGCAAGAGCCTTCACTGGCTGAGCCGTCGCATAGGGGTTTTCATATGGTTGAAGGTATTGATTTCTACTTTGTAAACTTCTCTTGTTGTGTATAGGCATTCCTCCGTATTCTAGAATTTTGATCGTGTTCCGTATTGTTTTAGTGTAGAATGTTTTTAGTATTTATTTGTTTATTTGTGTGTATTGTATGTTGTGTGTGGGGGGGCACTTGTGTGCTATAGAGCAAGTTATAGAGGTCAGAGGACAACCTTGTGGAGATGGTTCTCTCCTTCTGCTCTTTTGAGTAGCTGAGATAGGGTTTCTCTGTGTAGCCCTGGCTGTCCTGGAACTCACTGTGTAGACCAGGCTGGCCTCAGACACACAGAGACTCACCTGCTTCTGCTTCCTGAGTGCTGGGACTAAAGGTGTGCCCCATCACTGCCCTGCTCTCTTTCTACTTTCCTGTAGGTTCCAGGTATATAACTCAGGTCTCCGATCAGGTTGTTGGTGGCGCACGCCTTTAATCCCAGCACTCAGGAGGCAGAGGCCGGCAGATTTCTGTGAGTTCGG